TCTGTGGAGATTTTTTTTATTAATATATTTATTATTATTAATTTAACGAAATATATTAACGAAATATATTTTTGTAAAATTAAGGCATCTGTGTTAAAATGTTAATACATTGATGTATGGGGTGTGAATAAGCGTAGTAGAATGTCGATTCGTCCGTCGCCTTGTTCTCAAAAATTTATGTATGCTGACTGCGGTTCGTTTCCAAAGGATGAGAGTTGGAAACAGATTTCGCGCATAACAGAGTTCTCGCGTTTATGTAAGAAGCGGCGAAATCCAGAATTATTTCTAGCTCTAGGCGTCTGTAACGAAACTCCGTACGAATTCCGCGGACTAGGACAGACCACGTGGTCCGATCCTCCTCTCGTTGGGTGACTCTAAACTTAGGAACCGGCACAATTCGAATATAACGAAGTCCATTTGATTTCTCGCAGCGCTTCCTGCATTTCTTCTCCCCTTTTGCAAATGAAAGGTGCAAAACAGAAATGTAATAATAAATAAAAACGCGCGATGATTGGCGTGCGAAAATTGTATCAATTTAGCAACTCGCCTAAGTTTTAATCTTTGTATGACAATTCTCGTCGATTTTGATCCACGATTGTCAATCGAACTTCAGTGCATCCATCGATGGACACTATCACAATTCAATAAATCACAAACTAATAGTAATATTATATTAATATTATAATTTATAGCCACCATATCCACTCAGCAATATAAATATAATATATATTGTACATAAGAATTACGTTGTTGAGTAAAAAATTATAATAGTGATATAATAGTACACTGTTGCTTTGTATTTGGAATAATGCCAATCGCAACATCCAAATATGTATCATGTTTCTCTTCAAGAGTACGATTCTGTTGAGTAAAAAGAAAACTTCCGCAATCAATCACTCGATGACCTGGATTCATCAGGTCACTTTTGTTATTTTCTCTGTTGCCAATCTAAATTTTGAATTCCTGTATAAAAGGGATATAATTTGAAGTGAAATCACACTGTAGTCAAAATAAATTACGAAATATTGCTATCTTAAATTTAAATCCTAATTTTTGTACGAAATAATGAGATTAGAATCGGAGAATGATCAGGTCAATATTGCTCTATTCCCCAAGTGGTTATTATTATCCAGATTACAGAAGGAGGGAAATTGGCCAAGTAGAAAAGAATTTATGGAAATAAATATTGTTAGCGTTAACGCGTTGTTTGTCTTCCAATACATTTTCCTTTAGAGAAAATGCTCCCTTGAGAATTTTTCTTTTCTTTTACGAATCATTTACAAAATCGGCCGATTATATCCTCGAGTTAGTATTACTTCATGGAATGACCAAGTTTGCAACTCTGAATAGCTTCTGAATAAGTTTACTATTTTATAAGACATCAGGAATGATTGTGTGTGTGTGTGTGTGTGTGTGTGTGTGTGTGTGTGTGTGTGTGTGTGTGTGTGTGTGTGTGTGTGTGTGTGTGCCGGTTGAAGAAGCGAGAAAGTTTGTTGTTCGAAACTTTGACAAAATAAATATAATATTTATGGAGAGTTTTTTCACTCCTTCCCACCTCACTATCATATTATTTCGTTCTTTGACTTTCTTAACTTGTGTTAAAGAAGCTTAAGCAAGCAATAAACACAAGAAACATCTTCAGAAATTTGAAAAATTAAAAATATTTTTTAAATATTTATATCTATTGACAAAATAATCAAAAGGAAAAATAACAAAATTGTATTATTTATCGGAAGAAAGAAATTATTCTTGCTTGAATGAACAAAGATAATTTTTGATGTACAGGTATAGATAACTTTTTTACATTTTTGATATCGTGTTTGAAATCACAGCAAATCAATCAATGTGCGCAATGCGAATTTAATTTATAAATTAGTAATTAAGGTTAAATGTAATATTTAATTAGCACAATCTTCATCTTCTCTAATCGATAATTCAATGTATATTTTATTGGATGTATATTTTACTGGATATATTTTTTTATATCGTCATATTCTTTCGACCGCGTTAATTGTCAATGTATTCATAATTATATTCACTTTCTCAATTATAACGTAGGTAAGATCTTAATTGCGAAATAATAAAATATCTCTTCGCAGCTACCGTGGGACATGATCCGCAGACGAGCAATGGCGGTCAATCACAACTACAGCAACAGCAACTACAATCTGGGGGCTGGCTGGGAGGTGGTACCGGCGACACTGGTGGCGGACTGGTCTGCCGATCCGGTAAATCGATCAACGGCAGCAGCAACGGCAAACCGTCGTTACACAATCCTCAACAACAACAGCAGCATCAACAGCAACAGCAACAACAACAAGGCCAATCTGGGGGGTGTGGGGGATGACGAAGACGGGGGTGGAGGGAGCGGAGGGCTGGAGGGGACGGACGCAGAGGCGAACAACGCTGTTCACCTCAAGAGACGGGTGGGACTCGTCAGTGGGGTGGCTCTAATCGTCGGCACGATGATCGGCTCCGGGATCTTCGTGTCGCCGTCGGGTCTGCTGTTGCGTACCGGCAGCGTCGGCATCAGTTTTGTCGTATGGACCGCGTGCGGTTTGTTGAGCCTCTGCGGCGCCCTCGCCTATGCCGAGCTGGGCACCATGAATACGAGCAGCGGCGCCGAGTACGCGTATTTCATGGATGCGTTCGGCGCACCGCCTGCCTTCCTCTTCTCTTGGGTGTCCACCCTGGTGCTCAAGCCGTCGCAAATGGCGATTATCTGTCTGTCGTTCGCCCAGTATACCGTTGAGGCGTTCACCGTCGATTGTGAGCCGCCTGATCAGGTGGTCAAGATCGTCGCTCTGCTGGCGATCGTCCTGATACTTCTGATCAACTGCTACAGCGTGAATCTGGCTACCGGCGTGCAGAATGCCTTTACCGCCGCCAAACTGATGGCCATACTCGTGGTAATAGTCGGCGGCTCGTACAAATTGATACAGGGTAACACGCAGCATCTGCAAACGGCGTTCGACACAATCGACAGCAGTACTATCAACATCGGTCGCCTTGCCACTGCATTCTACACTGGCCTCTGGGCGTACGACGGCTGGAACAATCTCAATTACGTGACCGAGGAGATCAAAAATCCTTCCAAAAATCTGCCAAGGTCCATCATGATCGGCATACCGCTTGTCACGCTTTGCTACGCGCTCATCAATATATCCTACCTGGCGGTCATGTCACCGTCAGAGATGATCGAGAGCGAGGCTGTAGCAGTGGTAAGCATGGATGAGAATTTAGAGAAACGTTATTTCTGACAGAGATTTGGAAAAAGATCCTTTTTGAAACAAACAGAAGATATAGGGATAAAATAGTGTTAGAATTAAAGTACGCCTTTTTCCAGATTTCCTTGACATTGCTTTTCGAGTTTCAGAAGTAAGGATTACTATTTCGCCTTGCTTAATCTGTTTCTATATTTCGATTATGACGGATTAAGGTATTTCTTCACAGACGTTCGGCAATCGGATACTGGGCGTGATGGCATGGTTGATGCCGCTCTCTGTAGCAATCAGTACCTTCGGGTCTGCTAACGGCACCCTGTTCGCTGCGGGTAGGCTTTGCTTCGCCGCATCGCGAGAGGGTCATCTGCTCGACTGTTTGAGCTACGTGCACGTGCGACGCTTCACTCCTGCTCCAGGCCTCATCTTCCATTCCCTCGTAGCAGGTACCAAACCAAATCAAAATAACGAACAAGCAACTTGCTTGCAATGAATACTTGTGACTTTCGCATTCATTGAAGCTTTGTTTTTTATTCTCATTCGTTCGAGAACGTAAATGTTATCAGAATTTGATTTTACACAATGCGACAATGCTTTATTGCTTTAAATTCTTTAGATTTTTTTAAAATATTTCTCTTTTTAATATTCTCGATATATATTTTAAATATTTTTTGGACATCTTAAACTTTTGAGTTGTATCGTAGATGTCTTTCCAGCTTATTTAACATTTTATTTTACGTATTATTAAGGTTTGATTAATATATAGACTATTGATTTTAAGATATACATATGTAAATATGTTGTAAACCGAATCACAGGCGCGATGGTTCTTTCCGGTAACATCGATTCGTTAATTGACTTCTTCTCGTTCACCGCATGGATATTTTATGGCGGAGCAATGCTCGCCCTACTGGTGATGCGGAGGACCAGGCCCAATCATCCGCGACCGTACAAATGCCCGCTAGTGATACCTGTGCTTGTGCTCCTTATTTCCGCATATCTTATAGTGGCGCCGATTATCGACAAGCCCCAGATCGAGTACCTGTATGCGGCTGGTTTTATCGGCGCGGGTATGCTCGTCTACCTCCCGTTCGTAAAGTTTGGATATGTGCCCAAATTCATGGGTAGGTATATGTTGTTATATTGTCAAAGTCCAACTCATCAATTTAATACGCGATTAAAAATTTTACAATATAAAATCTGTGTTATAATAATTATTAATTATCTATCATAATTCTATCATAATATATTGTAACTTATATAAACTTGTTCTGAAACAAGAAATAAATTAAAAATGTCTTGTTGTAAAAGATAAAGCAAAAACTTTCTTCATTAAAAATTGTAAGACAAATAAAGAAGTTTAGATTTAAATTTCAAATATGATATTAAATTTCTTAAAAAATTAAAAATTAGAAGAGAGAGATCTCATTAAAATTCTCTCATTGAAATTTTAATCTCATGTTACTCTTTATATTTTTATTACATTACTTTAAATGTTATATTAAACATTTGTATTTTCTGATTATAGAAGGTGTCAATGCTTTCCTGCAAATGTTACTAGAGGTGGCTCCAACGGCGGCTGCCTTTGACTGATTTCATTTTGAAAGATCAACATATAGTTCTCGAAAATGCCGAATCATTCCATTATGGCATTATGTGGACTGTATGCACACTGAATATATCCTATTTTAAATACATGCAGACGAGAGCATTATATCCTATATTACAAAGCTCAAGGCTGGCCCAAAAAATTAATCCATATAAAAAAAGGCATATATATTATATAAAAATATATTATTTTATTACTTGTTATTCTTCATACATAGTATACAACATGCAGAAGAGATATTATTGTTAGACAATAGATAGTTGATGTTGTAACAAGACAGCGATGAATCAACAGAAAATATTTTAAATGTTTGCAGTTACAAAAATATGTCTATTTTTCTTTGTATATCCTTCTTCCTTTCTCTAAACTACTAATTAAAAATTGTATATTATTCGTAATTCACAAATTTCGCATAATTCTTTTTCATGAATTCCTTTGTGTTTCTTTGCGAGAACATAATCTTTATATAACTAACTTTATATAATTTAATATAGCTAAAAATTTTTAATAACTCATCACTCACTAATATATCATTAATATTTACAAATATATACGGTTTAGTTCTTAGAGATATTTCATTCTGAATACATTTTTTTTCAAAATTATACTAATTTCAATAAATTTCATTCGTTTTTGCTGAAAAATTCAGCTTTTTTCCTTAGGTAATTTAATATTTTTTGGTACTTTACCATAAACACCTAGAATACCGCTATCCTTCTTACGTATTTTTTTGGACTTAGGTTTGAGTAAACTATTAACAAATCCAGATATCCTATGTCCCTCTTCCTTTTTCTTTTCTTCTTCTTTCTTTCGACGTAGTTTTAATGCTTTGTAATTCATCCTCCTATTTTTAGGAGGTTTAGCACCTAAACTGATAGCAAGTTCAACCTTTGCTTTCTTCACCTTTGGTTTTTCAAAACCGGACATACCAAATTTAATAATCTCATATCGCAATTTCTTCATCTCCTTTTCTTGTTGCTCCTTCAACTCGGCAGGTGTTTTCTTATCCTCGGGCTTCTCTTTATTATCTGCATCATCTGCAGGCTTTCTTTTTTTCTTAGGTTCCTCGTAATTTACAGAGACGTAATTAGTCACTGTAGTTTTCTTGATTTGGGATACACGTGTTGGTACAAAGTCTTCCATCTTTTTCTTTACATTGAAGAAAAACAATCATTAAAAGAGAAAATATTTCTTTTTCCTTAATTTTATGTCCATTTTTATCAATGTAGATTATCTTCAATCTCGGTTTTACTCATTTTTTTATTTTTCTTTTAATTCTAAGTATTATAAAAAGATAAAGATTACATTAAACCGAGACTAAAATTAATAGACATTGATAAAATGTCTTGTTAAATAGGTTAGAAAAACTATGTTTCAATAATTTAAGAATTATAAATTAAACAAACGCCTAAATATTTAAAAAATATAGAATATAAATAATTTGCGCATATTTGTAAATATATTAATAATTATATTTTTACTTACATCACTGTCAATCAGATCAGCTTATAGTTCACACATGATCCACAAATGAAATGAGTGCTTTTCAACAAGAAACATACTTCGAATGATTGGCTGTTGCCGAGGGAATATATAGCTTCAAAAAATTGGACAGCCAATTATGTGTTGCAGCCAGTAAAATTTAGCGCGACAGAGCAGTTGTGTTTTCTGAACGCAGACAGATGTATGCATTCCATTTCTTTCCTTGTTTAATGCATAGTGAATAATAAGGATAAATGATACATCATGCGCATCATGCGGAATGCATCCTATGTTCATGGTTTATTCGCACATGGCACATAATATAACCTCAATTCTAATCTGAATATTGATGACTCTTTGGAAAAAAAGGAATTGAATATTATAAAACAAGATATAAACGAATTTTGTCGAAATATTATCCTAAAAGATGACCGAATATCCGCCTATTAATGTACGCTTGGCAGTGAACCGAGTAGATTTTAATCTAATAACCAATGATGGCATTCAACCGCGACTTTATACTCCCGGTGAGGAGATATCTAGTCAACCCGATTTCCTGAGGTAAATCAATCTTTGATTTTGCATAATACGATTAGAACTAGAAGTCTGTCTTTTTAATTAGGGGTCATGGGACTTACGTTGATGAGGAGAAAACGTTGCGTGCATCAGTTGCTGGGATTTTGGAGAAGGTGAATAAACTTATATCCATCAGACCCTTGAAGGCGCGCTATAACGGAGAAATTGGAGATCTTATTGTCGGAAGGATAACGGAAGTCCAGCAGAAACGTTGGAAGGTCGACGTAAATGCCAAACTTGATGCTGTCCTATTATTGTCTAGTGTCAATTTACCTGGTGGTGAATTGGTAAATAAATATAACAATAGAGCACTTCCTATTTATAAAAAATATTTTGCTAGTTAGAATTTTTTAACAAAGATTTTAAGATCTTTCAAATTGTATGTTTTTAACCTTAAAATCAAATAAAAATTTATCTTATAAAGATTAAGTTACTTTCAGTAGAATCTTAAAATTTAGTTATTTAGAATTTTAGAGAAACCAAAGTTTTGATTAGTTTATTATTATTTTACAAAATCTTTAAATTATTTTTTAAGAAATTTATTAAGATTATTGATTATATCATACACTTCTGTAATTCTATTTTCTATAAAATTGTAATTTAAGAAATTTAATTTTTATTGAAATATATGCAACAAAGAATATAATAGCCCTGAAATATATTATGTATCAGATTGCTCTTGAAATTTACAGAGAAGACGATCTGCTGAAGATGAACAGACAATGCGTAGATATTTACAAGAGGGAGATCTGATCTGTGCCGAAGTGCAATCGATCTTTGCTGATGGCTCGCTCTCTCTGCACACTCGAGTGTTGAAGTATGGCAAATTGTCGCAGGGAATAATGTTGAAAGTACCACCAATGTTGATCCAACGTAAGAAGACGCACTATCACAATCTAGAAAATGGAGCTACTTTAATACTTGGTAACAACGGGTACGTGTGGATTGGTGCAAACATTCAAAATGTAGATAAATCCGAAGGTGGTTTCACGGAGGATCTGTCGAAAATCCCGGTAGAAAACCGCGATATATGCTCACGATTGCGTAATTGCATTTTGATTCTGGCGCAATGCAATATGCTATTATCAGATACCTCCGTAACATATGCTTATGAAGAATCCATGAAGTACGAAGTGCATGAACTACTGCATTCCGAAGCGATGATCGATGTCTCACTATTGACACATCAGAGACTCGCGCGGTCTATGTAATGTCGCTATCCATATATGAAGAAATAATAATGTATCAAGATAGAATAATTTATTCCAAGCTAAAATTTGGAACTGAATGAGAAAATCGATCCTGAAATATAAAATATAAATAAAAGAATTTTGTATATTGTAATATATCAAACTGTTTGATAATAAATCTAAATCTTATCTATCTTAATAAATCTTGAGTAACATTAAAACATCCTGTACCTTGCATTTCTTCGAAAAAATTCAAAAAGGTTAGATTATAACATATTGCAGTAACAACGAATAAGTATTATATATAAAATACTGCAGTATTTTCGATAGATCTATATTTGGCGAAACGATCCAGGTGTAAAATGATCACGAACGGAAGCTAATCTGAGTATTGATTAAACAAGTAGACTGGAAACAGGTAGTCGAGAAGTAGTGTCGAGAGACATGGATGCATGTTTCAATGCCTTTGATAAAGACGGCGACGGATTCCTGTCGATTTCCGAATTCGATCTCATATGTCGTGCGTTGTTTCGTAATGACCGCGGCAAGATCTATGGTCTCGAGGAGGATCAATTGCATGCGGTGTACTCTATCTTTGATCTCAAAGGCGATGGCTTGATCGACAGAGAAGAATTCGAGGTATAAAGAAAACGTTATCAATTAAATTACTTGATTTTTTTAAAGTGCTTCAGATATGAATTACAAAAAATTGATTAATTTTAATATCTTCTTTTTAATAATAGAAGATATAATAATAGAAGATATTAAAAACAGAGATAATAATAGAAGATATTAAAAAATTGATATATCTTTTTTCTAACAATTTCATTCTTGTTGAAGGTAGAGCTGAAGGTAGAGAATAGAACATATATATATATATATATATATATATATATAATTTAGCGTAATAAAATTTTTATACTTAGATATGCTGAAATAATTTTGTTAAAAATTTTATTAAATATTTTACAATAATATGTCTCTTCTAAAATGAGTCGTTTAATTATTGAAAGTTTAATGCTGTTTTTTATCGATATAACTTGTAGGTTTGTTGGAACCGATGGATCAAAGTATGTACGCGTCCCAAAAGCGCCTTTCTGATCGTGGATGTGCAAAATGACTTTATATCAGGTTCTTTGAACATAAAACACTGCGCTGCACAGCACGATGGTTCGGAAGTGATCGACCCAATTAATCGATTGTTAGAAACTGTGCCGTTTGACGCGGTATTTTATTCCTTGGATTGGCATCCAGTAGATCATGTGTCTTTCATTGACAATTTGCACCTAAGGTAATTAGCAGCACATCGCAGAACGTAAGATGTATTGCACGTTTTTATATGAGGAAATCTTTGTATACATTTTTTAAAAACATGTATTAAATTCTATATTCAAACGCGTTGTTTTAAACTATCAAAATTTTCATTTATTTAACATAAATTCTAATCAGTAGATACAAAGAGAGACAGCAAAGAATAAAAAAAAAGGGTCAAGAAAAAGAATTCTTCGTGTTGTTATTAGGGAAGTGGATATCAGTAGCAATATTTCAAAGGAAGCAGCACGAGTGTACGATACAGTGACCTTCCGGGGACCGCCGTTGCTGAAGCAACGCCTGTGGCCGCGTCATTGCGTGCAAGATTCTTGGGGTGCTGAGCTTCACAAAGACCTGAAGATCGTCGACAACGCGATCAAGATCTACAAGGGCACGAATCCGGAGGTCGACTCGTACTCGGTGTTCTGGGACAACAAGAAGCTGACCGAGACCACGCTGTCATCACAATTGCAAGAAAAGGGTGCCACCGATATCTACATCTGCGGGTTGGCTTATGATGTTTGCGTGGGCGCTACCGCAGTGGATGCACTTACCAGCGGTTACCGCACTATACTGATCGACGATTGCAGTCGCGGCGTAGATCTTGTTGATATTGAGAAAACTAAAGCTACCGTAATAGGCAGTAACGGCGTGATAGTAAACTCTAGTCAGGTGAAGGCTATGGTAGAAGGAAGAGACCGACGACCGGAGCTCGGCTACAAGCTCGCATTAGAAATTAAACATAAATTGAGCCTTGGCGAATAATTGTAGCAAATAGTACAATATATCTAGAAACTTTTGATTAATAGATTAATATAAAAGACCATATATCAATCATATTTCGAAGCATTTCTTGTAAGCATAGAATAGTTGAAAATGAAGAAAAAAGTGTAAAGATGAGTTATATAATGAGTATATATTTTTTGTTGAGCATTAAAATAGATATTAAATTAGGAATATTAGAAAGTAAATGTTAAATTTATTAGTAAGTGTTTGTTATTTTTGGAAGGAATTCTTTAAGAGAAATAAAAAATGGAAGATTGAATTTAAGTTTAATATAATATAATTTAAGTTTAATATAATATAATATAATTTAACTTTAAAATGAGTGATACAAGCATTTAAATTTAGCATAAATATATAATATTTATTCGATTGTAGGGCTTAATGAGAAAGAAGTAAATATTGACTGCATAAATTTACTAAAATATATTTATTGAAAAATATATGTAAGTAAATTGAAAATAGTAATTATCTATTTAGATATGTATATATTTTTAATGAGAGAAAGATTTCTCGAGAACAATGTTTCCATAGTAGATTCTTGTAAAAGTATTTATTGTATTATGAAATAATAAAAGATGGAATTACAATCATGACTATGCTGCATGTTGATACATAAGTAAAATTATTATAATTTGAAATATTATTTTGACATTTGAAAGAAATATTGAGTTTTATTATGCATTTTATTTGTACTAAAACATAACATAATGGACTTTCCACAAGTCGACACGTCGTTCTATCTTTTTTGGCATTCAATAAGTAACAATAAGAATAACATAATACTTGTGTCAACTTGTATCACTAAATGAAAAATACTCAATATGTGCGTTATTTGTTTTCATTTTACAATAGATTTTGTAATAAAGATCCTTGACAGATAATCTTTAATGCAAAATCAGCCAGGTAGAAAGCCCTGATAAAGACCTTATCAAAAATGTAACACAATTTTCCATCAAAAACTTGAGAGAGCAAAGATTAGGTTTTCATCAGATCCATAATAACGGAATCCAATATAACAGAATTTACATTACATGTTTGACATAATCTAATATAATGACCTTATTATATTCTATTTCAAAATTTTTTTTATTTATTATTTTATTATTTATTATATAAGTAATAAGTTTCTAAAGAAATATTATTTTCAAAGTTATTCCAAAATTAAGTTGCTAATATAACAACTTTTTACCGAAAAATTGTAAAGCGCAAAAAGTATAACTAAGGTTTATAAGGTATTATGTAACGTACAATATATTTTTTTAATTTCGAGATGATTTAAAAAAATATCTATTTTGGCGCTTCCTTGCGAAGCGCTATCTCGCGAAGCGCGCAAGAACGTGTTCAAGTTTTGTGAGGGCAATCGCGCCGAGTAGCACGCGTGCGGACCGCATAGTCGTATGCTGTGTGCCTTCGCGTGTCATTGCGGAGGATGCTGTCGATCTAAACGACAAATCCTCATCTCACAATCGCACAACATGTCCTTGTGCTTTCGCATGCTGCCCGGCAAATTGTCGTCGCTTGTCAGTGGTCGGAAATCATCGTCAAAGTTCGATCGTCATCAACTGCAAAAACACATTGAGTCATCTGCCTTCTTGAAACAGGTACGTCTTACCCGTTTGGCGGATGTCCTACAGACTTCAAATCCGAGGCATGAGCTCTCACGCGTCGACAATGAGCACGCGATACCCATCGACTATCCTTAACCTCCAATGGCTTACATAATCGCATAGTTGGTCTTTAGCCATCGAGTGAGTGGGACGTCTTTTGTCCTCACATGAATTTTTGTGTTGCGTCATGCAATTTGTTAAGGATAAAGAGAAAGCTAAACGTGGATAAAGAGAAAGTTGAACTAGAATATCACAGAATACAGAGAAACTTATAAAGGATTTAGATAAACCTGTGTTATATAACCCTAGGGTTGAAGACACATAGTCGGAATTAATCCGACATCCTCCAACCGGAGGAAAAGAAGAAAAAAATAAACGAATTGTGTGATTAGGCATGGAGTGAATATCTTTGTAACGTTCATCGCAATTGACAATTATCTTCGTTAATCTGTAATCATTTTTACGTTCCAATAAATTAGAAGGTTTGTTCTAACTAATATTTAACATTTGCATCGAACATTTCAAATGTCGGAAAGAAACTTTCG